CTAGGCCGAGCTTGTAGAAGGTCGTGTAGCGGTTTTTCGTCATCGTTCGCTCAGTCAATCACTCAGTCACTCACTAATTCAACCTCGTGCAAGCTTATCAAGAAAGAATACACATCAGTGTAGTGTTGCAAACTTCTGAAGAAAATGGTAAGAAGCTATAAATTTTAAAAAAAAGGAGTACTAGAACTCCGTAGATTTCCAATTCTTACAAACAGTGTTCAACCTAAGTTTTTCTTTTTTTACCTGTTCCAGATTGCTACTTTAATGAGATTTAATCTAAATAAAATTGATAAGAGCGCGTCTAGCAAGAGACGTGTTTAGGAGTGATAGAAGGAGATCGAATAGATCGAAGTGAATTTGAGTCCAGCCTGCTTTTCAGTAGCACTTACACTGGTATGCATTACAAACTGTAGGATTTCGCTGAAGTAACGATGTACGAGGAAGATTGGCGGTGGAATGAAGAACGCCTAAAATGCAAATACACCAATTTATAACCATGGCACAGACCAATGGCGACAGCAGGAAGTGGTAACACTTGCGTCGCCTGCTACTGGTCATTCGCGATCTTTAGTTAGCAACAAACAAGTCCATAGCGTTTCAACACAACACATGATAATTAATACGACTTGGTTTCAATGCGCAAAACATCTTGCCTCAGTGAGAACTCTATTATACGAAATATAAATCGCTTCTTTATTTTTTTATCTTACATGACACAAGATCACTGTGGGGATCCCAGCAGTTCTTGCATTTGATTCGTTTTTCCTGGCATTCAACTTTGCCTGTAGTTTTGGCTGCTGCTTGAGAATTTCGTTTTTTAATGAATGTCGTGGAGTGGTACACTAGTCAATTCTCCTTGCAGTCTTGAAGATAGCCTGTTAAGGCGTTCCTAGGTGGATTGGAATAGAACGTTGGGGGGTGGTCGAACTAGAGCCTTTGCTTCTAGATCGACGGCACCATTAACCACTGTGCTATCTCCTCCCCAATATATACAAGTCGTTGGAATTTCCAAAATTTCAACGTTTTTTTTGGGAAATAGAACGTTTCTTCCACCTTTATTGGTCGATGATCAAAAAGAAATTGCTTGACAAGCAGAATATCGTCTGGCAGAATACGCTAGCCTACTCGGGTATATGATTGATATCTGTGGCCTCTGCGTGTCTTTATTTAAACTTAAGTTCTAAACAAGTTTAAAACCAAGGCAAAACATTAGCAAAGTTCTCTACATTTTTGGAGCGATAGAACATCTTCTATGAGTACTTTAAGTTTTCAGGCTTGAAGCTGCTGTGGATAAAAAAGGATAAAGCTCTCGGCGTTGATCAACCTCTGAAAGATGCGCCATGCATTCAACTTCATTAAGTATCGTTTGGAGGTGATTGAATGCATATCTGGCCTTTACAATGAGTCACGGTGGCATACCGATGTATCGAGCCAGTGCTTCTATCCTTCCAGACAAGTCTGGTACCAACTTGCCGACCCCAGAGAGACGGAATGCTTGGAAGGCCATGGGCGCGTTGATCGATTCTACGTTTGTGTTGTGGGACGCCCCCGACCACTGCTCCACCACGCGCAAGCTGCTATGATAATAAAAAAAATTAGCATTGGCCAAATTAGTAACCATTCAAGTTACCCCTCCCCTCCAAAAAAATAAAAAAGTCACTGGGCACGATCGTACCAGATCCACACAAAATTTAATTTCCAGCTTTCTGATTTGAATGATTGACTTGTTCTCTTTGTACTCATTGAATAAAAGTCAGTATGAACAGGCATATAAATTGAATGTAAAGCGAAGTAAAGATATGTTGCTTTCATACGTTACTGGATTTAAATTGATATTTGAATCAACTAGATTTAATAGTTGGTGCTACACTGCATATTTCCATCTAAAGCTTTATAAAGGAAATAGTAACATTCGGACATTTTTTCATTCTATTTGACCCTCGTTCACGTCTACTGTGCTGGTCCCAGTACTTTTCACATTCGATTCTTTTCCTTGCATCCATCATCCATTAAGATCTTCCAACTTTTACGTGTGGCTTTGGCTACTGCTTGAGGATTTTCATTTCATCTTGAATGTTGTAGAATCCTGGTCGACCAATTCTCCCTGGAGCCCTGAGATCGCTGGGCTGGACTGTTCCCAAATGCTTTGCAGAGAGCGATTTTTTCCAGGCAAGTCCGGTACCTATTTCCCGACTTCGGAGGTATGAGAGGTTTGGTTTTGAACATTCGAGTAAAAGAATCAAATTAAAGGATTTCCCACACTATAAAGACAATCGACTTAAGCTTTGTAATAGTTTTCTGTAAACGAATCATCATGTTTTCAGACATACTGTTCTCTAGTCTCTGAAAACCCGGCTGCCAACTTTGTACTTGCGCTGTTCTGATTTTCTGTGACTTTTTCTCAGCTTTTCCAATCTACTTCTTCAATGGTTTTGTAAAGTATTTTTATAGATGAAAAGGTAATTAGCACTACGACGAATTGAATGAACGACCTCTGTGCAGACGAACCTGTAGTACATCGTAAATTGCAAGACCAGCATCTTGAATGGCAGCTTGACGAAGTGCTGTGGAGAAATTGTAGTATTCAGAACTATGATGAATAGTGTGCAGACCCCAAAAGAATCCTGCTTCTAAAATTAAAACGCTAAAAGATCGTTATTCAAGCTAAGCACCTTTAAAAATATATGTACAAAATAAATTACATAGTCGTTGTGTTACCGACTGAACGGATATCTTATCACTTGGCACCATGTAAAGTTAAGGGATAAATACCATGTACAGCTCGATGCCCGAAATAATACATGAGATCCTGGAAGAATAGACAGAGAATCCATGTCCATGGACAGTCCCAAGGCAGCTCTAGTAATCGGAAATTATTCCAAATGAAAACGTAGAGAAAAATCGCCACCGTTCGCCCACCAAACCTGGAAGTTATTTACACTCTTATCCCAAATGTGTATTCATATGTCATGTGATTTGCCGGATTTTCAGTTCAAATCCTAGCCACTCACTTGAAACACTGACTGAGCATTCCAGCGCAAATCGACGTAATCGAATCGTTAAGAGCAAATCGCTCATGGTGGCCGGATATTGCAAGAATTAGAAACTCAACAGCAATGAATACAATCCACCACGTCGACACCTGAAGCTGAGCATTTCAACTACATAAAAATGTGCAATCGGAATAAGAAAAACGGTGCAATATGTAAATAAAGGTTTAAGTCTTGATCGATCCGTTATGCATTTGAGTCCATCGTAAAAGCGGTTGGATACATGTTCTGCCTATACAGTGACTTGAGACGGCCTATCGAGTCAGTGCTTTTATCCTCCCAAAAAGAATGATGCCAATCTGCCGATTACGAAAGGAGGAAGACGTCAGTTTAGTCTTGCGCCGAAACCATTCTAAGCCGCTGTGTATATTGCACGGCAGCTCTAACCACTGCTACACACTTGGCTTAATGCAATATAATGGAAAACCCTCAATATCCTTAACCTAAGAAATCTCTAGCTGTAGAGCGTTTATTTTCGACAACGAGCTCGTCTATAATTTAACCAGTTCAAATCACATTGTTAGTTTCGCTATTTCAGCGATAGTGTTGAGAATGGACTGAGGCATTCAAAAAAGCGGTGGGGTATTAATAGTTGTTTAACCCCATAAGCCTCGGTACTAACGCAGAGTTGTTTATAGTCCACGACGGTTCATTTGCCAGTCAGGAGACCTAAGTTGAGAAGTTCGACACCTTCTTCCTAAAGCTCAGCGAAAAGTACGGCGATATTAAAAATCACCAATGTACTTATAGAAAGCCAGACGTAAACTGCAAAATCTTTACTCGATTCATAAGTGACGGCGAAATCACGTCTTAACTTCGTAACAAAATCGTGGAGCGACTGCCTCGAGACTCCATGAAGAGAAATCTTGCTTAACTCCGTACGATTCTTCTTGGAAACCCTCCAAGCAAATGTAGAAGTAAGTAGTGAAATACCTCAACGTTATAGTTAGGGACCTGATCCAATGTTGGCACTGCGGTTTCATATGGAGAGACCAGATAGAAGGCATGTCGAAGGTTGACGATCGTCAACCTAAAAAGTGAAATAAGACGAAGATCGGATTAAGACCAGAGGAAGTACATGAAGAAAAGGAGTTTGCTGTTCAGTAGGGTGTGAGTCATTAAAAGTGGTCCACAAAAATATCACTGAGCTATTACATAAAATGAAGATAACAAGCTTTCCAGACCTACAATATTTCGATTTGAAGTGGCTCCTCTTCATTTACAGTTGGCCTTCTCTTATCTCAACTATTTGTTTATCACTGTTTTATACACTTATTTATTAAACTATTTTGTCGCAACAGCCGTTTGAGAAGAAAGGCTACTGCATAGCGCTGTTAAATATCATGGAAATATTTTTAATATCAGTGAATGCTCTTCAAAAGAAAATCTACAAAAATAATCGACATACGGGCTTGTGGCTTATCTCAATGAGATATCTAAGAGATACGACTGTGGATACTTTAGTCAAAGATTTCTGTAATAATGTTCACATCCGTTTCTTCAAAACACTTCTAAGTATATTCGTAAATAGGACCTTTTCGCAGCATTTACAAATGTTTTTTTTGACAAGCGACTGAGAGACAGACGAAACGACGGACTCGCATGGTGTGGTGGTGAAGGCGTTAGCCCCGGAAAGGGTGATAGCATGCTCGGTCTCCACCACAGACACCAGCTTTTCGAAGTTTTGCAGTTATCTCAGCAACATTATTAGTGTCCTTTTTGTTTCGGGTCAATAGAACTTCTTCTTCTGCAGTGACGCTTACTAGTTTGTCTCATGGCAAATATCTGACGTGTCGGATCGCGTTTCATAGTATGAACTACCTAGTTTGAGAATAAATGATAACTCTTTTTAGATTGATCAGTTCATTTCAAGTACTAGCGTAATTTGTCCGAAGACCTTTCAAGAAGTCGATGTCCTAATGAGGTATTCGTAAAAATGCGATCGATAAACGGCTTGATAGTCGTAGTGGAGAGGTTGTCGGCGAGTTCAATCCACGTCTCGTTCATGGATTTGCATCAATTCTGGAAATGATTGGTGAAAGAGTAGCTGCTAAATTTCTAGTATATGAGAAGAGTTGCTCGGAAATGAATTCCTCATTGAGTAACACTGAATGGGATATTCCTTTCACTTCATAAAAAGCCTTCTTAAACAAACTTCCGTCACCAGTATCAGAACAACTAATTTTTTCAAGCAAGAGTAAAATACTCATAGTAGTCGAATGACTAGACTTCACCGCAATAATTGGAAATGTAAAATTTTCGGCCGAAAAGAGGGTTTATAAGTGTTGAAAAATTCCAGGTCTTGGGAAATTATTTCTGGAATAGAGAGTTGTCTTTAATGAAATACAAATGCCACACAATGCAATGTCCCCATCTTCATTTAGAGAAAAGCTATGTAACATAACTACATAGAAAAAAGGGTATTACAACTTTATTAAAAGTAGAAATTGTTGAAAACGTTCGGTCTACCTTATACTGATCAGGATCAGGGGCAGAGAACTAGAGACTTAGGACATTTCAAGGATTCTTAGTTGATTTATTTGAGGATTTCCAAACAATAAAAAACATTACTGAAGGATTTTTTGAAGAACGCTGTACAGTAAAGCAATAATAAGCAAGAAGAATTCGGAAAACGGGGTGATACAGCTTTTTTTCAACCCAATAAGAGTTAAAAAGGAAGCTTATACGAGGCCGCCTAGTGATAAGCTACTGTCCACCAACGGTGGTCGAAACCGGCCACCGTGGTGACGATATATAACGAGTCCTTGTCGCTCGTAAAGTAATGGATCGCTGATAAGGTGTGGATATGGTGCTATTTGACCACAGTTCTCCTCTCAGACATCTTTAAGTCAGTTTCCATATGATGCATTCAATTTCATTTGCGGCATTGTAGTGACTGAATGAACATCTGGCATATAAAATGACTTGTGGGCCTACTTTAGTCAAAATGGTGTGATGACCTCAGTTGACAATATGTTAGCGAAAAAACCGTAATCTATCCATCTTTAGAAGTCTTAATAACTCAAAAGAATAACGTCAGCCATCAAACAACGGCAATTACAACAACAACGACAGCTCATACCGACCTCGCATCAGCTCAGCAAGGTCAGTTCATATGAACATTTGTAGATAATAAACACGAACCGCTATGATACAAAAACGTCGAGCTGATAGGTCTTCATGCCCCTCAAAGTCAATGCATAGACCAAATATGTTCCGACCAACTTTACGAGCCCGAATGGTGTCGAAGTCGAATGCATGATGCATCTCTAAGATATCGATAACGAAGCATAATCCCGAGCACTTTAGCCATAAGAGATAATGGTTAGAGATAACTTGAGATTTTGACGAAAGCCGAAATTTCTACAGGAATCTGCTCTGATTTGGTTTTCCGAGTATGTGAGAAAATTCTAATAGCGTTGTTGGAAAATAAGGCGGAGATGACTTCATTTAGAAACACAGCACGAGCAGGATTTTAATAGCCACTGATGCAACTTTTCAACATTCTTAGTGGCCTGGATTTCAAATTATTTAGAGTCGTAGAAATTTATGACGGTACATCCAAGTGACTTATTCATAATTCTTAAGATTTCCTCACACTTAGATTTCATACTCATACATATGTAGCTGGTAACTATCTTCTATAGTATAGGCAAGTCAACAACAAGGTGAGCACGCATGAACAAGGCATGAAGGATAACCTTTCCTTCATCAGCATTACTTTGAGAGATTGACTGATACATAAAGGATGAAAGAATAAAGCTCTCGGCGTTAACCAATTCCTGAGGGAAGCGCCACGCATTCGACTTTATTAAGCATCGTTTGGAGGTTACTGAATGCATATCTGGCCTTTACAATGACTGGCGGAGGGCTACCGATGTATCGAGCCAGTGCTGCTATCCTCCCAGACAAATCTGGTACCAATTTGCCAACTGTGGAGAGATGGAAGGCTTGGTGAGCCACGGGCGTGGGGACCGATTCCACGTGTTTGTTGCAGAGCGCCTCCGACCACTGCGCACACGGGCCGATTAATTGAATTGATACATAGAAACTCAATATGAGATAAACTTAACTGATTCATGTAAAAGAGCTTATGCATTAGAATGTCTTAAATGGGAAAATTTTATTTATGTACAGCACATAGCATTATTCAAATTACTTTGAAACCTTTTAGTCTAAAAAGTGACCGTCAAAGGAGAAAATGGTTGTCCATTATTAGACAGTTCTTACGAAAAAGATTCTACCAAGTGATTTTATCAGTAAAGAAATCTGTGGTGTCGTGGAATCTATAGACGAGACAATGAACTAGAGATATCGTCACAACGGGTTTTTCCCTTGTTATGGACGGATCAGTCGTCGACAGCTGGTAAGCGTTCAGTGAAGAGACTAGAATACATTGTAAAAATAGTCGGTAAGCGACCAATCAAGAACTAACGCATGCTCTTTCAAAAATATTAACAATCAAGTAAGTACACGTGAAATAGATGAGGAAGATGAACGACTGTGGACCATCGACTGAGATCACCGGCTCTGAAGAAGATGAAGAAGTCGAAATGTTACCCGCGTAAGCCTTTTATTGACCTCCTACTAGCTTAATAACCCAAGAAGGTTCAGGTAAAACAGACCACACTATTTAAATACTAATCATCTTAAAAAAATTTGTTTATTGCAAAATTCTTACTTTCATATGTATTATACGAGTTGTCCACTACGCGGGAGATCCAAAGGTCAGTATCGGAATGACCCGCCCTATTCTGATCGCATGTACAAAATGTCCAATGGTAATTAAAATCTCATCAGACTGAAAATGCCTTTTGCTAATAGATTAAGACTATCTGGAGCTAAACTGAAGTTATTTTGTAGAGCGAATAATTACAATGTCAGTCTCTCAGGAAATCGAACATGTCGGCATCTTGTTTGAAAATGGACGCAAAACGAGCGAAAATTGGAACTGTTAGTGACGGATGATTAGGAATTGATGGAATAGAACCAATGACCGGAATAAGACAGAACGCTAAGAGATCCTGATGGCGGGATCTAGTTTTGTGTACCTCCAAAAGAATCTCTCAGAAAGTTCAGTGAAAAGAAATCCGGGTTGCGTCGAGGCACCACACAGCGACTGTTCATCGGACGAACGGAAATTGCTTATCCAAAGTTTGAACAGTTCGTCTAAATCTTTACCTCTAAAAGAACACTAGTACCCCTAAAAACCTTGCCAATAGGCTTGGTAATTCAATTGTATTAGTTCTAAAATGGAAACAGAAAGCTAAAGAAGTAAGAGAAGGGGAAATATTGGCGACATAACCCACGATTCCTTTTGACCCTTTTGACTGCGTAACTTCTACTAGAATAAATTAATCCTATGTATGCGGAAATTTCTTTGCTCGAATACCGTAACTTCGAATGCGGAAGGGCTCAGGTTTCTATAAGTAGATGAAGAATAACCTCACTTATTGAATCTATAGTCAAAAAAGCAGCACTGCAAGTGTTTCCATTCTTTTCCTTCCAACTAACAATAGACCTCGAAAAAATAGAAGGATAACAATTCAGTACGGTTCAAATAGATTTATAAATTTGACAAGTCTATAAACTGCTTGATATTTAATACAAATCTGTTAGTAATTCACAAAAAGAGACAAGAAAAACATAAGCCTCAAGCGGCTACTCTAGCTAGATATAGAAGCACCTTAGACATAGAAAACGACTGCACGACAGTCATGAAAGCAATGTTGCTATTAAATCAGCGGAATAAAGCTTCATCAACAAAGTGCTTAAAATTTATAACCAGCTTCATACAAACGCAATACCGATATCGTCATCTTATTAAAGATGATGCCTTAGAAAAGAGTTTAAGTTGTTTCAGTAACAAGAGGAATCATAGCAGCACAAATGAAAACCATCGTAACAAAATAACAAGATACCAGTATCATTTTCAAAGAAGTGTACAACATCCTGTGAAACCACGGCGAAGAAAAAAGGGATTCACAAGCTTCTCTGCTCGCGACAGAGGCTTATCCTAAAAAATAGAGATATTCGAGTTAATACTTACTTACCTACTTGATACTTGAAGGGTCCGCCCTCACTAGTTGCGCGAGCCCTAGCATCCATTTTTCGGAGAATTGCTGGTTAAGCCATTGTGGTTCCCTGGAGACCCGAGGATAGTCTGGCCTAAGTCTGCCCCAGGTCGTCACCACTAAAGGAAGTCGCAGCCCTTGTGAATCAGAGGAAGATTTGCCATTCATGTTAATAGGCACAAAAAATATGGAACTGCTTACATGTCAATACCAGAGCACTGACAACTCTAACCTCAATATTGTCATGAATAGATGATGTCAATGGCATAGAGGGGAACCCTTCGTTTGTTCGAGGTTTCTTAAACGTAAATTCAGTAGCTTTTAAGACACATTTACGAAAGCTTTGCATATAGACGAGAATAGTTGGTAACACTATAGTACTTCGAAAAAAAATCCGCCTTACAGTTATTAACATAAAGATTGTAGCTAATGAGAAGGTACTAAGGACAGTATGTGTTCAGCTCAATGCAACCATGCGCGGCGAAGAATAAGAGCCAGCCTAATATGGACGCTAACGGAAATAACGGCACGCATAAATGTGTTAGTGTTAAAGGATAAAATAAGAGGATAAGGCTTTTGGCGTTGATCAACCCCTGAGAGATGGGCAATGCATTCGACTTCCTTAATCATCGTCAGAGGTGACTGAATGCATAAATGGCCTTTACAATGACTCGCAATATCCTACCGATGTATCGAGCTAGTGCTGCTACCTTCCCAAACAAGTTTGGTATCAATTTGCAGACTCCGGAGGGAGGGAAGGCTTAGTGAGTCTGCGGCGCGGGGATCAATTCCACTTGTGTGCCGCAGGGCGCCTCCGACCGCTGCACCACACGCGCCTTTGTATATGTGTTAGTAATGTTAAATATCTTAGACTTATTAAAACAGAGTAAACAGAAAAACTTTTGGTAAATCAAGCAACGATGAGAATAAACGACTTAATATTTAAGATTACGTAGTAGATCACCTCAGTATCACCAGTTTTGTCTTCTTCAACAGTTATGGTCACCGACTCGATGGGTGACTTTGCCGAAATGTTGAGAATTTCGTCAGATGGCTCAGAGGCAGGTGTATTCTCTCTTCTTCCGGTGTGCAACACCTGAGTGTATTCTAGGAAAACCGGCAACGAATGATGACGTCCACGCAGGTACCTGTTAACCACATGAACATCGTCAGGTATCGGATCCATCTCAATACAAAGCTTTCTTTCAAAGTCGGATTGTAACATGTCATGAGCACTATCTATTAAGTCGTCGTTTTTCAAACAATTCTTTGCATCCACATCTCCTTCCATTCTTTGCGTATGTTCAAACTCCTTCAAGTGTTCTACTGATAGGACAACTCTCTCCTCAGGCAACACTAAGTCGAAAGCTTTAGGGTGTCCTTTCGTCCTATTGATCGCTCCTTCAAATAATGTACATAACTCTTTTACAGTTGCGTTCTCTACATCTGTGCTTCGTTCTTGACCGGAATCCATCTCTTCGCGACAGCTCTCCGAATGATCGCAAGACTTTCTAGACGGACCATCACTATTCTCTTCAATAACATCACCCGCTAGGAAAGAACCTTCGGATTTGTTTACGATATGACCATCATCGGACTTGTAAGGGTGATTTGAGCCTGGTTTAGAGCAGTAACCTGACTTGTTATAGTCAGCCAAAGACATGGGTTCTGTCAAAGTAAATTTCTCATTCTTGTTCGAATAGTCTGATGTTTCCTTAACACAATTTTCCACTTCGCACTCATGAACATCTAAGTCGAGTTTACGATAATGTTTGCCGACAACTGGCGTAGTGTCCTGATGGTCAACATTGTCATGTTTTTGCTTTGGAGTGGATGTTTTCGCTCCCTTTTGGCTCTCAGTCTAAAAATAAACATGTACTTAAATACCGATTGACCAGAAACAAGTAATGATATGATCTTACCTCGTATTCACGATGCAGTTCCGATGTGGTAAAATTACACAATGTGATCTCGTGCATACGCCTCGGCGTACTTTCCCAACCAGAACGATCAAAAGACAAATTCAGTGAAACGTCACCTTCTGGGCTCTCAAAACTTGCAAATCATTACTTGTAGATTACGTATGCTAAGCAAAATAGTTAAAAATAAAAATATAAGAGTATACGAACAGAAATGAAAAACAGAATAAAGCTCTTACGTTGATCAATCCCTGAGGGATGCGTCATGCATTCGACTTCATTAAGCATCGTTGGAGCTGATTGAATGTATATCTGGCCTTAACAATGGCTCGCGGTTACCTTCCGATGTACTAGGACAGTGCTTCTATCTTCCCAAAGAGGTCCAACATGCCTGTCCAAGAAGATGGAAGGCTTGGTGACCCCAGGTTCGGATAGGACCATCGTGTGTATTTCAGGGCTCTCCTAACTACTGCGCTTCCCACGCCCCATTGTGCGAATAAAAGATGTACATAGCCAAGCCATGTCTTTAAAGCTCGTTGAATTGATGTCGACTAAAGAGAAAACACCCAAGGGTTGGAAGCAGAGGCTCACCGCATCGCATGCAGTTGCATAACCACCTTCACCGCTTGTTTCCAGAACCTGATTTACAGAATAGAAAGAAGTGTGCCCAGATTCGGACGTCATCATCGTATCACCAGAAATAGCGGGGTTGACCTAAAAAACTTCTGTCTAAGTTGTGACAAGAATTACCCCTATATCTACTAATGATTTCTTTCTATATGAAGTTTAGAAAGAAAAGGAGAAGGGTAGAGAAGCCAGAAACCTATCTCGTGGTTTAACTATAGTTAAAAATATACCAATGAAGAAACATCAAACCCAATTAAGATAGTTTAACTTGCTTCTTCATTGTTATTATCAGAAACGATGAAATCACTTTTCGGAATTAGGCCAACAACTCCTTCAGGTACCCGAAAAGCAAAAGGCTCCAAATCATCCCAATTACTCGAATATCGAATTGTGACAAATGGCTACCTTACTGCTATCTGCACCAGGGTTTGTCGGTCTTTCACTAGACGGCGGCTGCTGTTCTTCTAGTATGACAGCTCTACCGTTTCCATCCACGATGACGCCAATTCTTTTTAGTTGCTCAACAATATGTTGACGTCTGTCATTGTCCTTTAAGGAAAACATTACCATACAAATGCAAATCTATGATGTTTTTTAAAAGAAAACCATTAACTGTTGAATCAGCAACCCTTACCTTATCGATGTCTAGTGGGGAGTTCGATTGGAACTGCTTCTCACCTACGAAACAAACAAACTCAGTAAAATGAAATATTCTTTTTCTTTTTTCTTCCCTTTTCCCTTTTTTTCTTCTTCAAAAAAAATTTCGTTTTGGAAGAAATGTTAGCATTCAATAATATAAACAACTGTATAAACAAATACCTCAGCATCATTGAAGTTATATTTCGCAACATACCCTGTCATTAAAAAGAGTAGGCAGAAAATAATAAGTTAACATTGTGATTATAACTACAACCTCAGCTCAACTAGGTTCATTGCCGACTTGAGCTGGCCAGATCAATCCCGCTGACGGGAGATTACTGACGGCACTGATCGATAGAACTAGCTGAGAGACAGGCGACCCGCATGGCATGGCGGTGAACGCGTTACTCCCCGGAAAGGGCAATAGCGCGTTCGTTCCCCATCTTAGACACCTGTGGTCCAAAGTTTTGCAAATATCTCAGCAACATTGAAGTTATAAAAAACTGTATTTTATAATCCTGTTCACATTTATTAGATACCGTAATGATTATTGACAGTTTTCAAAAACTGTGAGAAAGAGTAGAACTGTAGAATCCGATACCTAAAAATGAGAGAAATTCTCGTCGTTGTGCTAATTTCAGCATTCAGTAATTATGAGGGCTTCTTGTGCAAACATATGGTAAACATAAAGAGGAGGACTAGAAAGACGTCCGCACCTCCTGGAGATGAATGCGAATGTGAAAAGGCAGGACTAAGTCTCTCAGGACTAAATGAAGCAGCCAGTTTAACAATTTGTCCACGGCTATCCAGTATCTCTACCATCGTCGATAAATGAGTGCTCAGAAGATCATGTCTGAACAATATCCAACATGAAATTAAAAATATACGACTACTGCACTGTACGATTTGTCGAGAGAATCGGTAAGTAAAGTCAAGCTCACTTAGTCATATTAATGGTGCCACATATTCCATTCAATTCCTCCGTATTTAGATGGCGACCGGTCTCTTTCCTTAACTATTAGACTATGACTACGGTACCACTTCTTTACCAAACCACATACTGCTAACTATTAAACCAAAACTGAGACGTAAAACTAACCTGTACTGATTTCTAACAGCATTCCAATTGATTGTACCATCTTTCGAATTGGCACAAAATCGTTGGACAATGCGACTGAGGACAGGATATCCATCCTTTGAAAAACACAGTGTTAAGCAGAACTACTTTAAATAAGGGCGTATTATGCGTCCGTTATAAATGTGCTTCAATAGGGAAATTTCCTAGAATTATATTAATCACAGCGATATATTCAAATGGTACCATGGAAATTATCTGCGAACTTTAAACAACCACAGTACACAGGCCGTTCGAGAGATGCTTACACGTTCTACGTGTAATTTCAAATCCAATGAGAAGAATGTAATTCAGTATTTAATTATGAAATATACGGATCGCTCTCGTGACGATTCACCTCACCGTTCTCGGACTGAAGCGGATCGAACCCTGTTCTGGTGTGGCGCCTCGAGAACTGGACCGACTTTGTGACCTCGTCACTCCTCTTTCTAGTGTGCCGCTTTTATGCGTACAATCGACACGAAGCACATATCTAAACAAAGCTACCACTTAAAGCAACAACTATTTCGTAACTTCAAGTGATTATCTGAATGGTTTTTAATAAGCTTTAAATATTCTTTAGAGCGGTTGAATAATGTTTACTTCAACTTTCACGAATTCACTTAGTGATTTATGTGTTGCTGTAAGAATTTCGCTACAAACACTACTTTTCGTGATTTTTCTTCCTTTGTCAATCGTTGCACAAATGTTCACATTAAGTTGAACAGAACGTTGATGTCTCTGCCTCATAGCTTTCGTCGATTCCAAATTACAAAGCGTTATCCACTGACGTCATCACGACCACTACACGGGCCGACGAAGACGACAATTGCAAAAGGTGAGGGATTTAGGTCGGAGTTCTTAGAACATAAATGTTAAGTAGTTGAAAGATAAGAACTGTCAACTACACGGTTGTTTTCACTCCTCTCATTGTCATTAGCGGTTGGCAGATAGATTACAATGCTTAACACATAAACCCCTGAGCACCAGAATGTGTGCAATTGTTTACTGGTGCTACGGTTCATTACCCAACTGCATTGTTGTCATCATTTCGAAACGATTTGTAACTTATGCAGTAACTAATTAGATATTTTTATATCTGTTCCGAAGTTGAAACAACAGTCAATTGCCAGTGAAACAACCAGCCTCATAGGAATAAAGATTTTTTTTCGCATAACTCTAAGTGCATCTTTAATGGCTACGAAACTGTAGCTCGAGATAGGTGAAGAGGAAACCACAGGTACCCCAATGACAACTCTAGTGAGAATAAGGTCCCATTTATACTGTCCTTCATTTCAAATGAAGTAAGTGCAGTTATAAAACGTTGTTTAAGAAGGGCCAGTCTAGAGAATTCGGTAACGATAATCGAAATACCACCGAGTAATCTAAGGCGCCAGCTAGTTCGTAACCGCCTATACGATTGTCTCTGTGCAACACAGAACTGCATAATTTGCTACAATGGTAGAGACGGTGATTGCACGAGCTCGGGTATAGTTTATCTGATCTCCTGTAAGGCGTGCGGAGACGAATACATTGGCGAAATGGGCAGAGCCTTCCGTGTCCGCATAAAAGAACACCAAGCCGGCAAAAATAGACCAAATACCCCGCTAGGCACGCATAGGACCCATAGGCATAACGGGAGGGCTTTGAAGTACGTGTCACGATCCTCGCACAAGAATCGTGAACACAAGCGCGCAAAACTCTCGAGGCGTTCTGGATTAATTCCAGAAATCTGAAAATGAAGCGCAGGGAAGAATGCCTCATTATCACGCGTGATTGGGCAGTATAAAAGACTGTTATTCTGATGGGACAGGCACACTACGCTTCCATGTGAATTCTTTGCGGTCGGTCTTCACACGACATACTCAGTGGAAGACTCATAAAAAGCGGTGAGTGTGCAATGACTGTGCTCAATGTGACTGAAGTTTTGGTTGAGCATTTTCTCTGTTTAGTTATGGAGGTGTTTGGCCGTGTAGATTGTAGTCAACTTGACCTTTCTAGGCTCTGAGGAAAGCGAAACCCGCCGAAACGTCAGCTTGTACGTAAATAAAGAAATAAAGTAACACCTCGTGTTTGCTGAACACAAGTAGAAAGAATTATTCAATCAATGCCGAGGTTAACAGAAAGTCGGACTTGGGAGTATCTAAGTGCAGAATACAGTTATCCTGGACATTGTATGTTGGAAAGGGTGTCCCACAGATAAAGGTAAACAAAATCCAGTAAAAACCTCTTCGCGGTTAAATAAACTACTGAAGGAAAAAAGGGCCACACATGAGTTACTGCGGCTAGTCGGTCCGGTAAAGTGTGAATCATATATGAATCATATCGTCGCCAATGGATTAAATACTTGAAATTTTACGCGTAAGCACTGCAGCTGGATCAGAAATAGTTCATTAACACCATCCTATGGTCCAGAATGAAATTCCGCCGCTCAATTGCTTTCATGTTCGAAAAACGAGCCTGGGCGCAAAAATCCAGTCACCGTTGGAGGTGTAGGCGTTTTCTAGTGCAAAAAAAGCGTAAAAAAAGGTTCTGTAGGAGGACTTCATGCACTAAGCAAGCATTTATACACCCCAGTGTCCTTCATTTTATTGAAAAATTTGCCGTAAGTTAAGATACAAACTCAAAACCGCCGTTTTTTCTTAGATTTGTACATTATATTCAACTCATGTTGGGTGATTAAGGGTTAATATAAGGTAAATAAGATACGGTTTCCTTAACCACACTACAGCGTGCCATATTTTTTCTAAAGAAAGTGAAGGGATAAAAAAGGTGTAGTAGTGAACGCGTTAGCCCCCGGAAACGGTAACAACGCGTTTACTCCCTATCGCAGACACCTGTGGTCCTGAGTCTTGCAAATATCTCAGCATCATTGTGGCTGTTTCACATGTAATATCCTGCCATGAAAAACTATAATGGGCAGTAAATAAAATGTTAACATTAAAAAGATAAAATTTTTACATACCTCGGAAGGCTATTTTCATCGCCTGCGTTTGGTACAGTTGTCACAGCAGGCGAGCAATGCTCCGCAATGAAGGCCCTCAACGCACAAAATTATTTTTGGGAAACTATTTCGACCAAGAAATCCATTGGGAGCGGTAGTATTCAGCAAGGAATCTAATGTCATTGTATTTTAAACCGTGGTTTCTCATTTTATATTAGAACACTACTTAATCATGGATAGGGCGGATGTTGCGCAGTGGTCAGAGGCACCCTGTATTACACAGTGAATAGGTCAGTGGTTCGATCCCGCGCACGGGGCTCGCCGAGCATTGCACTTCTCTGCAGTCGGTGGATTGCTAAAACCAGCCTGTCTTGAAGCGACTACTAACTTGATACATTGAAAGGCTACTGGAAATCATTGTCTAGGTAAAAAATGCACTCATCCACTTCTAATTATCCTTGACGAAATCGTATTTATCGCGCATCCCTTAGGGATTGTTCAATACCGAAAGTCATCCATTTTACTTGATGACAGAAAGAGTAAGAAAAAATGCAATGCCTAAGAACCTGAACGACTCGACACTATGCTGTGTCGATTTCATTCCACCGCATCGTTCAAGCAGTTCTTCTCCAGACAGCTGTTCTTCTGCCTTTGCAAGTTCCTCCAGTATGCATCGGCGTAATTGTTCGTCATTCATTTGACAATATAAGGTAATATTTCTGGAAGGAGTATGGTATTTTCACAGCTAACTATTTATTCCCGCAGAGAAAGCTGCAGAAATAAAAAGCTCTAGAGAATAATCGGATCGCATACTGATTCCACGAGAGAAGTAGCACCTTGGACAACTGTGGGTACATTTGTATACGACAATCACGTTGAGGCAGAAGAAGGAGGTTCATGGAGCAGTTGTAACAATGGTGTAAAAAACGTTAATAACTGTTTGAAAAAACCAATATGACTACTCGGTCGCAGATTTTTGGCTGGAAGATGCTCTACAATACGTTAGAACACAATTCTTACTTTTTCAGTTCATGTGGGTACAAATTCGGATTAGAATTCACTTGTGGGTTTGCTATTACGAGGGATGCTTTCTCATAAGAACTAAGCACTCGCACCTGTGACTACTGGTAAATCAGAGTCACAAGAGAATTTAAAAGAAGAACAATGAGAAGAAACCTGAAGGAATACGGAGAGAACACATGGAGTGAAATGACTTTCAAATAAGGTATAACTGAAAGTTTTAGAAGTCGAACAGCAATCACGGAGCTCATAAACTCTATTGCAGAGAAGTTCAGCAAGCCATCGCCGGATGTGACATGTAGTGAACTGGTCAAATGACTGGTTCATGGCCACTCAAGATTGCATGGAGATCACCAATACGAAGCGCGCCGTCTCGCAAAAGTTCCGAAAACGAAGCACTTCTACAGACATTCGTCAAAGTACGTCTCTAAGAAGACGTTCAGCACTAGTCAACTTGTAGAAACACCCTTTAGTTCGTTAAAATGCGAAAGAACGTGTCCAGAAATCAGCAATGAATTTGAAGAAGGTCAACCAGAGTACCGCTTGAAGTATTGATTCCTATGCTTCAGCCGAGTGGAGAACATCGGAGACCAGAACTATACTCATTTCTCCCTGATGTTCTGAAGATTCGAAACCTAAGAAAAAGTGTTTTTGTAGTTGTACGTACTTTGCTGGACTCAATCTAGATTTCATACAGTCTTCCAATCTCGAAAGTATCCTTCAAAACTACTTATTAATTTCTGCACGCACGTAAATAATTGATATTTTAGACCAGAGGTGGGCATACCGTGTACAATAATTCTTTCTACTTCTGCTCTTCTGCTCAACAAGCACGAGGTGCTATTTTATTTCTTTATTTACGTACAAGCTGACGTTTCGGTGGATTTCGCCTTCCTCAGAGCCTGGAAAGGTCACACCAAGTCGTCCCGAAATTCATAGAAAGAAAACGACTACACGAAGTATGCGGACTGCCAGAGGATGATCACCGAGTACTGGACATCGAAATGCAAGTACTACGCACCTGTCTACGAAGCAAACAAAACCATATGTTCGCCAAGTGGAAGAAGCGCGAGAAGAAAGAAAACTATTGTGCTCAGTATTTGGAGGACCGCCCCTGGAGGAGAATAGTGCGTGGGTCAGTGTTGATTTGCAACTCTATTAGGTTTAATGTTAAAGTAACTTTGCGGAGGAAATTCGAAGACTTTTTGAGTAAATCACGTAACACAGCTTCAATAGCGCACAAAAATATCGCTAAGGAACACCAAACAGATCACAGTAGGATAGGTAATGTGCAAGAAAATTCAAGGCTAACCGTGTTAAGATGCATGACTCTCCCTGAGGGTGCGCGCTCGTTGTTAGAATTGGGACCGAGCATCATCTGAACCCATTTCTAAGATAACCTTGCGTATGGTCGCATGTAGTTTCCATGAACTTCAAGATAGACTCCGCAAAATGGCTAGAGATGAAGCACTAAATAAGTGCGAACAACACCTAGTGGGGTCCTACCAACAGCACCACTTCCTCAGCCGTTCTTTAG